GATGCACAAACATGGTGTCTATGCCTGTTGCCTGAGTGAGTCCATGGGGATAGAAGTGGTTACATTGTATTATGCTGCAGGGTTCTTCTCTGAACGCCTTCTGAGTGACCGACCACAAGTCACAGACTGATAAAATGCCAAAAAGTATTTTAATGGCTTACCGTTGACAATTCAATTAGATCCTCATTTCGTTTTCTCGAAAACTCAGAATTGAAACCCGCTTGACTTGCAGAGGATTTGTTAGCCAGTCGTGAAGGTCACTGCTTTTCTCGATACCTGCACCCTATTCCAAATTGTTCCTTCGACAGCATGGTGACATTGGGAAATGAGTGAAGAGCTGGCATCTGCTATAGAGAGAGAGAGAGTGGGGAACTGGCCAAAGGGAAGGCGTGAGTGCAGGCGAGTTCTCAGGCCCCTTTTATGACAAGAGTGTGCACAAAGTTTGAACAGACGCAACGCAGCCTGGCCAGTGAATTCCCCGAAAACCTTCACCTGCTGGCAGAGACCGGTCCACACCAGCTTGTAGTCTCTGCGGCTCATCAGCACCAAGATCCCTCACAACTGCGAGATATCTCCCATGACTCTGTCTGTAACATAACCTTTAATTATAAGTAGATAGTTAATAAAGACTATCTAGTGGTTGAGCGTCAACCCATGCACCAAGAGGTCGCCAGTTTGACTCCCGGTCAGGGCACATGCCCAGGTTGTAGGACAAATCCCCAGTGGGAGGCATGCAGGAGGCAGCCAATCAATGTTCTCTCTCATCAATGTTTCTCTCTCTCTCTCTCTCTCTCTCTCTCTCTCTCTCTCTCTCTCTCTCTCTCTCTCAAACCAATAAAGAAAAAAAAGAGACCAGGACACATTTCACAAAGGAGGCAGAGAGCTGGTTCTTAAATAGACTGGCATACATTTTCTGCGTACCTTATTTTTCCTAATAAAGAATAGGGATATTGCATTATTCCAAAATATTGTAAGACTTGCAAAAATTATTAAACAATCTGAGTCTTCTGGTAGGAATTTCAAAAGGAATGTGCATTCTCAAATATCCAGCATTTTATCTCTTTTTTATTTATTTATTTTCCTTTATTAATTTTTAGAAAGAGAGGAATGGAGAGAGAGATAAAAACATCAATGAGAGAGAACATCGATTGGCTGCCTCCTGCATGCCCCCCACTGGGGATCGGACCCACAACCTGGGCATGTGCCCTGACGGGGAATCGAACCGGTGACCTCTTGGTGCATGGGTGGATGCTCAGCCACTGAGCCACACCAGCCAGGCACCAGCATTTTATCTTACAGAGTGTTTTGTTTCCTGTTATTTTGAAGAGCTTCGTTTTTGAAGTGACAGCACAGGACATGAAAAAAGCAAAGAAAAACTTAGGACAAAATAAACGGTGAGTTTGAGAAAAACTTTTAAAAAATTCTAGCTCTATTTATTTTCTGTTCTCCTGTACCTCTTGCTGCTGGCTATGGTGACAGGAAACTTCTTTTAAATGACACAACCAGGTGGTAGAGAAGACTGGAAGGAAATATTACTCAAGGTCACAAGTGGCCTTTCCTGGCTGTCCTTAAAGCTGATGGAACATTTCATTTACTAGATGCATTTTCTTAAAGCTTTCTTTTCTTTTCTCAATCATTTTCTAAGGGCAACAACAGTGTCAAAATTATTAATCTTAGAAGGGCTAAGTAATTCACCTCTACTTTAAATTTACAACATAGGAGTGCATAAAGTCATAGACAAGACTTAATTCAAAAAGCCCAAGTAGCCTAAGTCTGCCTACGTTCACTTTGCTTGTCTATTTTTCTCTTGAATTACTTAAATAATTTACTGTATTCTTCAACTGACAGTGGCTGGAAATATGACTCTCTTCTTGCTGGTCAGTATATATTATATAGTAATAAGTTTTCATCGCTCCCCTGCTAGACCAACCCACTGTGTCATTTTTTAAAAGTCCCCTCTCACCATGGCCAACAGCAAGGGGTTCACGAGAACATAGTATAAACACAGCTAGGATTCTTTCATCATTCTCAAACTCACTTTTCTTTAAGTTTTTTTCTTCCTTCAACAAGTAAATGAAATATGTAGAGGTTCACCTACAGAATCTTAGCATGTATTTACCTCTTTCTGGAAGGTGGAGTATGTCATAAAATAGAATTGGGAGTACGAAGACCTGAGACTGACAGTGATTTTAAACAAGCCAACTAATTTTGAGTTTTTTTTACTTATCTATGAAATATTGATAAAATTTTCCTCCGTATGATCCCATGTATGTAAAAGACATGTGCATGCAGAGAGTCAATATAAACACATATACTAAAAAATACAGTCCGATGAAACTAATTCTGCTCTGCTCAATGGAGTTTAAATTTTGTAAGGAAAGAACACAGGTTTTTTAAATCTAGTCTTACTTCTAAAAAGCCAGTCACATGTCTTATCTGTAAACATATGATTTATTTATGATTTTAATAATGAAACTAGAGGGAAAAAAATCAGTTCAGTAGGACATACAGATAATTTTATCAACATAGTATTTGCTGAGAAAAAATTCATTTAGTCAAACTATCACAACACTGAATTTCACAGTTAAACCCACATGCAGATTGTAGAATCATGTTACAGAATGTTTCGATGAAATGTGTTAAGTATAAAAATAATCCAATGCACTTTCCATTTAACACGTTATACAAAATCCCTTTTTCAATGGCATTAACAACTTTACAATCTTTCCCATAAAGTGCTGTGTATTCAAAGTGCTCTGTAGCATTGGGGTCGAGATCAAGGAACAAACACTGTCGAGTTCCACAGTAATACAACTCAGTGATCGATGAAATTTGATATAAGATATAGAAATTCACTCAAAAAACACAAATCTATGATGTGCCATGAGTGACACATCCTCCATAGGGGTGGGGCTGAAGGACTACATTTACACATCGTCACAGTCATAACAAAAAGGGGTTTAAAGGTGAATTCATTACTTGTATGGTGTGTACCCCTTCCTAGAGAAAGAAAGAAAAATAGAAAGCGACAGAAAAAGAAACAGACATAGACAAAGAGAGAAAGTTCACAATGCTTCTGCATTACGTTTTTCGACGGAGACTAACCCTCATTACAATCAATTGTCAGAGACAGAGGATTTCAGACTTCAGAATAGATCAGCATTACCTGGAGGGCTTGTTAAAACCAATTGCTAGACCCCGCCACAGAGTTTCCAATGTAATAGGTCTACTATGAGGGCAGGAATTAGTATTTGGGATAGTTCCAAGGGATGCTAATATCTTGATCACATTTTGAGAACCACTGTAGGCAACCAGCATGGATTATCTGATGATTTAGGGCAGCAGTTCTCAACTTTGACTACAGAGTAGAATCAATTGAATTAAAACAAACAAACAAAAATAATGCCTACACCCAACTAAAAAAACTTACATCTGAATCTTTGGGGTGGAACTAGGGGTTGAGTCGTTCATACATTCATGAAAATGTCTCATGAAAAAGTCTAATGAGTAGTCAGCTGGAAAATCGCTGCCTTAGGACATTTTCTTTCACCTTCTCGCGTGAAGAAAAGATAGCCAAACACATGTGCCCTTTGGAGCATACTGGTGTACGAGCAAAGATGCCTTCGAGGAAATCAAAATCTCTAGTAGGCACACTGATGCACAACTATTTCTAGCAATATCGGGGAGTGATTCAGGAAGTGACTGTGACTGAATGATTTACAATGCACTCAAGGTTAGTTCCTAGGTTTGAAATAACAGAAATTGGGAAGGTGAGCAGCACGCTGATTTAATCCAACTTTCTTTTCCATTGAATGACATCAACCAGGCTAGAGTCTCGAATGTTGGTGTATGTGCTGATGCACAATGCTCACTTGTTATTATTGTTACTCACTTCGCTCAGCTAAATTATTTACTACTATGATTAACTTCTGAGTGGTCCCACAAATAAGACCCCCAGGGACAAAATCCCACAAGCATTTATCAATCTACCTCAGGAAGCAAAACAACAGAAACATACACACAAAACAAAGGGCATTCTGAAATAAGATGTGCACTTTCCATTGCCCTTCTGGCATAAGTCGAAGGAATGAATGTTTGTAAGTGATTCTAGATGCCATGGAATCATTGTACTGGTCCACAGCAATCTTTACTATTACGCATATATGGAAGGACCTTTAGAATTCATTTTCACAGACCAAGTCATTAAAGCCCCAAGCCACAGACTTTGATAAAACTCTCATGTATGAAGCCGGGACTAATATTTGGTTATAAATAAAAAGGAATTTAAACAAGGCCCAGATGTCAGGACAGGGCCTTTCCGGTGATCTTTGGTAACGTCAAGCATTGGAACACTATCAATGTGGTGTGAATAGAGACACCATCGCTATGCTGAATGTATAACAGCCTCAGAGTCTGTTACTAGGAACTGCCGCCCGTAAGGAGGGTCCTACAGCTCTGCCGGGTATTCTCAAGGTGCTCACTGAGCTTCTGACCAGCTTGACAGGATAGACACCAGCTCAGACAAACACAGTGATTAAAAAAAAAAAAGATGGAATCTAAAGTCCTGGCAAGATGTTTGGGTGAATCTTTCTCCATTCTTGAAGTCTTCCAGAGACATCTTTAAAATATCCTATAAAATAATTTTAAAAAGATAGTAGGACTATGAATATAATCACTCAGAGTGATAGAAACTGGACAGTAAAGAGAGGAGTGCATCCAGGACACAGGTGAATAAGGAAGGCTAAAAATTTGGTCTTTTGCTACCATCTTTAACATTTTATATATATATACATATGTTTTATATATTTTTTAATTTTTATATATCTTAAAAGTTTAATTCATTTTGTATATGGATGGCTATTTATGTATCCATACATATATATATTAAACTTCACAAAACTACAGAAATGAAGAAATAGAGTCTATTTAAACGCAAATAATCACAGCCATTCCTTTACACACTACAAGGAAAATGAATTCTGGAACAGTTTGCTTCTTCCCTTCTGTGGCAGGTCCCTGTGGCACCCTCTCCTCTGTATTGCTCCTTCCAGGCCCTGTAAGGGGGACAGAATCTCACTACTTCAGAGCACTATGCTTGCAGAGTCAGAGGGTGTGATTTAGGGGTGCACAGGGTGTGCTCATGGGTCCCTGTGTGTGCTCCGACCCCACCTCCACCTCACCCGGCCCTGTGCGGACAGGCTGGGTGCTCAGCAGCACAGAATGGAAGCCTGTGTGCTGTCCCCATACAAGGACTGATGAAGGGATGTGCCAGCCCAAAGGAGAGGGGCCCCAAGGTGGGGGTATCTGTGTAATCCTGCAAAGGGATCAGGCCTAAACTTACCATCTGCCATGAAGTCGCTTAGGCCTTCTTGTGGTTCAGGGAGACATCTGCGTTCTCACTTTTTCTTTGCAGGGTATACTCTTGCTTCTCTTGGGTTCCAGGACAATCGGCATTTACAGGGAGTATTTCCGCATCCTGTAGGCTCTTTCTACTCTGCTCTGACTCTGTCTCTTGGGTTAACCCTAGTCTGAACTCTTCAGCCTCACCTGAGTCCGGCCCCCCACCAGGGCACCCCACCCCTGCCTCCTCTCCCGTTAACTCTGCCCGCGGACTGGCGTCGGCTTCCCCTCCCTTTTGGTCCAGGTCTGAAGGTCCCCCTGGACCCCCCCACTCTGATGCCCCGGTCACCACCCCCTCCCCCCTGCTCAGGGCCATTTCCTCTGCCTCCTGCTCTGCAGCTGCTGCTTCTCCTGGGAGCTCCGCCCTGAGCCCAGCGCTCTGGCCAGCAGCATCTGAAGAGGAGGCGGCTGCCTTTGCTTCTGCCTCTCCCTCCACTGTCTTCGCCTCTGGCAGCACCGCTGTCGCCTCGGGGGCTGTGTCTGCCACCGCTCCTCCCCGGAGCCCTCCCTGGGCCACAGCCGCCTCGCCCTGCAGGGGCCGGTGCCCGGGGGCGCGCTCCTCACCCCCCTGCCCCTCTGGGGCCTCAGCCCCGGCCGCCTCACTCCACGTTCCCGCCCGCACGGGCCCCCCCTCGGACATGTCTTCTAGGGTCATCGTGTCGGCCCCCATTCCTGGACGCTCTTGTAATGACCCTTCTTTGCCCCTGCTTTCCAGTCCTGCTGGGACATCTTGACCTTGGGCTGCAGGCGCCTGGGCCTGGGCCTGGCCCGGGGCTGTGCCGGGCACCTCGGCGGCCCGCTCCTGCCCTGCGGGGTCGCTCCCGGGAGGCACAGCCTCGCCCTGGGGGCCTGGCCCCTCGCCCCGCTCTGAGGGAGCCGCCGGCTCCCCGTTCTCCCCGCAGGGCGGCCCCGCTGGGCCTTGAGGCCCGGTGTCTGCAGCTCCTCTCACGCCTCCCCCCTCCCCCGCCACAGCGCCTGTGCGCCCCCGGGACGGTTCCAGCACTGCGCCCCCCGGCTCTCTCGGGGGCTCTGCCCCTCGCGGCCCCGTGGCCTCCGTCCATCCAGGGGCCTCCGTGGGCGCCTCCTTCCCAACCTCACACTCCGTTTCGTGCGGGGGCCCTGGTGTCTCCTCCTCGGGCCTGCCTGCCTTCACAGTTCCCCCCGCTTCCCCTCTAAACTTCTGTTCTTCCTCAGTGGCTTCCCCCTGGCCAGCCCTTGCCCTCGCCACCTCCTGGCCCTGGGCTGCAGTCGCCCCCGGGGGGGTGTTCGGCCTCTCGGCTTCCCTCCCCTCTCTCTCCAGGTCTGACTCCTCAGGTGGAGTTTCTTCCCTATCATCTTCCCTTTTAGATTCTACCTCAGCCTCCACCTCCTTCCTTTGCTCCTCTTTCTCACCAGGTCCTTCCAGGCCTTCCTCCGAGGCCCTGGGCATCTCGGCCCTCTCGGGGCTTGGGGGGCTCAGAGGTGTTCCCGGTGCTGTAGCGGCCTTCCTGGCTTTGGCTGGGTCCTGTCCCCCCAGCATGGCCTCTCCTGGGCCATCCTCTCTCTCCAGCGCAGTGTCCTCCTCGGCTCCCGCTACGTCTGTGGACGCTCCCCCTTCCCTGTCCTCCACGTCTGGCTTTGCAGACCCAGCCTCACTCACAGCCAGCCCCCCCTGAGGCTCCCCCTGCTCCAGCACCGCAGCCTCTGGCAGGGCGGCTGCCTCCTGAACACACCCCGAGCTGGGAGCTGCGGCCCTGCCTGCAAACACTGCTGTCCCTGAACCCCGGCCCCCTCCCCAAGCCGCCCCTGCCTCCAGCTCTGTCTGCGTCCAGGCCTGTGGTTCAGGAGCCCCTTCTCCATGCAGACCTCCAGAGGCTCCTGCTGCCTCTTTCCCCACTGGGGTCAACCCACCCTCGTCCAGCTCTCTGTCCCCTCCTGCCCCTGCCCCTGTCCCTGCCCCTGCCTCTGCCCTGCTGGCTGGGCCCCCGGGGCTCTCTCCCCCCTCTGTGAACAGTGCCGCTGGCTTCCGCGCCCTCCAGGGAAACTCAGTAACCCCTGCTCTTCCCCACAGTGCTTCAACGGGGTCCGCATCCCGGCGCTGGGGAACCCCATCTTCTTCCTCTGCTTCTTCCTTTTCTGGTGTGTCCATTTCTGAGGCAGCTGGCGTGGATTCCCTGTCCGAGTTCGGGGCTGTGCTTTCCTCCACCACTGACTTCCTATCCGGTGCTACAAAATAAGGTTAGAACACAGGGTGACTTCAATCAGAGTGCACAGGGAGGAGGCATTACATATAATCTTATATAATATAAGAGATAATATACATAATATCAAGGGGCCATTGGCATTATATATAAAACATTTTCTCCATTCTAGGATGATATCGACTATAACATGCACCAAAATGGCTTTTCATGATGAAAAGAAATGCTATCAAATTTAATGGCTACATTGATATTAAAGGAAAATTGAACATCAGAAATGTTGAAAACAAACAAAAATTTCATGTCTTAGGATAATAAAATGTCTCTCTCTCTCTCTCACACACACACACACACACACACACACACACACCTCCTACTTTCATTTGAAATAGTAGGACCTGCAAAAAAAATTATACAATAAAAAAATAGTATTTTTATCTTCTTAAAAATCGTTGTTCCCTACAGCACTATTATATGCCTGTCCCCAGCCCATGTTTTTCATACTCACATGGGCATTTAGCAACACAATCATAATACAGTGTGAACTCATCATTATCCCATACATTACTCCTACATTTTAAACTACTCTATCTAGATACAGTCATCAAATAACTATATAGCTCAAGGTATGACTCTTTACTAAAGACTAATTTGTATTACAGGTCAGTATTCCTCCCATCTTTGTTCAGAAACCGATTAGCCTTTGGCAAAACAGGATCATAGAGCAAGACAAGACTTTGTAGTCCAGGACAATTTTCAATATAAATAACCTTTTTGAAGTGTTTCATAAGTTCTCATCCATAATTCCCTGGCAAATATGGGTGTACTAGCTATCATACTTCAATATATACAAGTCCAATATGTTTCATAAAAGGCTTCAAATGGATTTGTTATTATTTAACAAATACATGCATTTTTGTTGAAATAATCTATGCAAAATAAATAAAAGCATGTCATACCAACACACTCAAAGCATTTAAATTTCTGTACCACAAAATAACACTTTAGAAGTTAAGAGCTTCTAAAATGGTTATCTTAATAATTTTTATTACTTTAAATTTTTTCACTTATAGAACACAGTGGACTAGATGTTATAAAATAAGTTATTGTACCAGGTGTTAACCTCCAAATTATTCAAGTCTATAAAGTAGGCAAATGTGTCCTCTTCATTTTTTTTTTTTTTTTTTTTTTACTTGCTTGCCTCTTTGGATAACCATTTCATCTCCTACCTCACTCATCACCAACAATCTACCAGAAACCTAGCGCCCTGGTCTTACTCACATCCTCCCTAGTCTGACACCTCCCCAGGGCTGTCTTTTCACTCCAGTTTCTCTCCCAACACAACATGTAGCTGTCCTTCCTTCTATCCCTCTGTCTCTTGACAGCTATTACAAGAAATCATTTTGAAATACAGCAACAATAACTGATACTGCATCTTCCTTTAAAAAAAAAAAAAGGTATTTGGAAGGTAACTTTTGATAACAACATAGAAATTTCAGGCCTATCAATGGGGTTGGTGTTGACTTTTATAGGTGGTCCTCAGCATATCATAACAGTTATTTACTAAATTGTACCTCTAAGGTCCCAAAGGAAAATGTTGAACCAAATGTTCACTCAGAGAACATGTAGCCAATTCACCTAAAAGAATAGGGTCCATTTTATTTCATTACTGATTATTTTCTGATTTAAAACAACATTAAAACAGTGAGAAGCAACATCATGTGCCAAGTCTCTTTAATAGTCTATCCGTTGTTATTCAAATTCCTACATGAAATATATTAAAATTCAGTTACAAAAGACATTTAAATACAGTCCTCTGTTTTGCTAAACTGGCATATAAAATTATGGATTATTTAAAGAACATTCAGGCAAACAGGGGACTAAAACTGCCTACCCACCATGCAATAATCTACTATGCCTAAATTCTGAGAGAGGAAGTACCATTGTCATCCGGTTATTATATGAACACACACTGTTGGGGAGTCAGACATGACCCTCCTGAAGCAAGGGAGAAAGAAACATGGAATTCCTTCTATGAAATATCAGTACAAAAATATGACATTATTTTTATGGTAACCTTGTGGCCTTTAGAAAAACAATGATACAAGAGAGCAAGCGGTATGTACAAATGGGGTCATTGGATTTGGTGGGATGAGTTAGTACTTGGGAGTCAGACAGACTTGGGTGAGGCCAGCTCTGCCACCTACTAGTTGTATGAATTTGGGGAAAAACACCTCTCTATGCCTTCATTCTCTCATCAATACACAGGAATAGCAAAGCCTGCCTCACAGGGTTCTTGGGAGAGTAAACTATAAAATGATTAGCACAGTGCTTGGCACACTGAAAGCCCTACCACAGCTTCCTTCCACAATTCCTCCCGCTGCTAACAGTGTATTCTCTGTTCTTGCTTTAACCGGATTTGAGCTGACAACTGAGGTGCCTGCATTGCAGAATGTCTGGGGCCCTTCTCTGGTGTAATGCCCACTATAAAAGATTTGGATGCTCCAAGCACAGGGTCACGGTCAAACCCAGCCCACTGCATGGTCAGAGGTTACCTGGCCCTCTCCCTATCATGCAGGGAGAATGGGAGCTCGGGAAACCTGCGTAAGTGCAAATATTCTGGCTATTGCTATTTTGTGTGAGTAATAAAGGTTTGTTTTTTCCCTTCTGACCCAGGAGTCTTGTGTCCTCTGCTAGCACCCGTGAAACTATGGCTGGCTAACTCGTTTGCTTAAAAAACAGGGTGAAGCCCAGCTGGTGTGGCTCAGTGGTTGCACATCGACCTCTGCACCAGGAGGTCCCCAGTTCGATTCCCAGTCAGGGCACATGCTTGGGTTGAGGGCTCCATCCCCAGTAGGGGTGTGCAGGAGGCAGCTGATCAATGTTGATGTTTCTCTCTCATTGATGTTTCTATCTCTCTCCCTCTCCCTTCCTCCCTCTTTAATATTGGTTAAAAAAACAAAAAACAAAAAAACAAAGAACAATTGGGAGGGATCATAATAGCAGATATCAAGTTATACTACAAAGCCATCATAAAAAGAAATATTAAAAAGTAGGTTAGCCCTGGCCACTTTGGTTCAGTGGTTAGAGCGTCGGCCTGCGGTCCAGAGAGACCCAGGTTTGGTTCCCGCTAAGGGCATGTACCTCGGTTGCAGGTTGTCCCCAGCCCCACTTGGGGTTGTGCAGGAGGCAGCCACTCAATGTGTCCCTTTCATGTCGATGTTTCTCTCTCTTTCTCTTCCTCTCTCTCCCTCCTATTCTATCTGAACAAAAATAGAAAAATATCCTCAGGTGAGGATAAAAAAAAAAAAATAGGTTAAAATCTCATAGTACCGTCCAGGCCGGTTTGGCTCAGTGGTTGGAGCGTCGGCCTGCGGTCCAGAGAGACCTGGGTTCGGTTTCCGCTAAGGGCATGTGCCTCGGTTGCAGTTTGGCCCCGACCCCGGTTGGTCGTGCAGGTGGCAGCCACTTGGTGTGTCCCTTTCATGTCAATGTTTCTCTCTCTCCCTCTCTCTCTTTCTCTCTCTCTCCCTCATCCTCTCCCTCTCCCTCTCCCTCTCTCTCCCTCCCACTCTATCTGAACAAAAATAGAAAAATGTCCTCAGGTGAGGATAAAAAAAAATAATAATAGGTTAAAATCTCAAGTACCTCATAGTGCTTGATGACTATCATTAAAAATTGGAGGTGGGGCCCTGGCCGGTTTGGCTCAGCGGTTAGAGCGTCGGCCTGCGGTCCGGAGAGACCCGGGTTCGGTTCCCGCTAAGGGCACGTACTTCGGTTGCAGTTTGTCCCCGGTTGGTCGTGCAGGTGGCAGCCACTCGATGTGTCTCTTCACATCGATGTTTCTCTCTCTCTCTCTCCCTTCCTCTCTCTCCCTCCCACTCTATCTGTACAAAAAATGGAAAAATATCCTCGGGTGAGGATAAAACAAAACAAAACAAAAAAAATTGGAGGTGGGCATAATGTGACCACGAGATGAATAAAAAGAATAATCTCCCAGCCCCACATGTGGATACGTATATTGAAATCAGGATATTTTTGAGAAAGTCATCCACTAAATAATGGGACTCCTCATTTCAAGGACACAGGATGTGTGACCAGTTGCACATGAGTCATGTCTGTTGGGTCACTATCATTGGCACTCTTGCAGGTGGAATATTCGTCATCAAGAGCCAGGTCACAATGCTGATGGCAATACATCCTTCTGTAATTTTAAAAAATAGAGTGTTCACATAAGTCATTACGAAATGTGCCTTGGCTCTCCATGTCTCCAAGCCAACTACTGGGAGGCAGTCTATAAAATAAGACTGATCTGAAAATCCCTATTGATGTTTTTTTATAATCCAAAGTTCTTTTTATTTATTCTAGGCACCAATATATTTTTTAAAAATAACGTTTACATCTGTTATCCGCTTTAACGCTCCCCGGAAGGACTCTCCACCACCTCCTGCCATCACATTCATTAGCTGAAAAGAAAATAAACCTGGAAGGAGGAAACAAGAATAGAAAGATGAAAGATGGAAAGGGGGCTCTCTTGGGCAGAGGCTTTCTGAAGGTTTTCCTAGGTAATGATGTGCCCTTACCTGCACCTGGGTCAATCTCCGGCTCGGTCAAGAGTTTCTCCCCGTCATCTGTGCTGCTAACGCCAGACCCAGCATCGCAGGGGCCGGGGCAGCCAGCGTCCACAGCGTCACCTACTATCTGCCCAACTGATCAGAGACCACATGAAATATCAAGAAGTGTAAAAACAGGTCATGGGAACATTGCTGAACTATTTCACATCATTTCGGCAAATGGGGTTCATTTCAAAGCATTCACATTAAAAGGTGACCTTGTTTTTAAAATCTAGTAAGATTTAACAGCTGCCAAGCTATGATTTCAAAAGGAAAAGACAGCAGAAGATCACGAAGAAAAGAAACCCATGCAAAGAAACGCGTGCACGACAAACATGACAACAGCCAGAAGCAGTGACAGCGTCGCCAAATGCACATGCAATAAAACCACTGAAAAAAGGAGTTTGGTTGCCTTTTCCTTTCTGGAAACGTGAGTTATGGCTTTTACGACACCAATCAGCACTGTGCTGTTAAATGTTAAAACTGGCAGAGTTGACTATACTATGTGCATGCCATCCATTAGTAGATTTTAGTGATTTGACCTCAATACTCTCTCCATGTGGACAGAGCAAAAAAGCTACTGCGTGATTCCTATACATTTGACGGGAAAAGCTGTTGAGGAAATTCCTGTTATCCGCAGCTGATTACTAGCACGGCACTGCAAGAACACAAAGACCTAAGTTCAAGTCCCATACTAACTGTGTCACCTTGGGCGAGTTTTTGGCCGAAGCCCAAGCCTCAGTTTACTCATTTGTCAAATAGAGGTATATTTGCTCAATGATTATTGGGAGGATTAAATATGGGGCATGGAGTGAACAAAAGTAGGTTTATAGTTGTGAGTACATGAAACACGGTTTATTCTTGTATTATTATTTATTAATTTTTGTATTATTTTCCATATGACCAACTGCAAACCTACTTTTACCCACCCCTGTGAAGCAGTAGTATATCTGGAGTATGCTTACCTTTCACGATTAGCAAATGCCTAAAGGAATCAGTGCTTTTTAACCTCACCCTACTCCATGTTGAAATAAACAGCTGTGATCATAATGATGATGAGCATGGCTATTGTATGTAGTACCACACAATGCGGTATGATTCTAGGTAACACTGTAATATTAAATTAAGTTTGTCTTAGTTTCTGACATGTCCCTGTCTACATCCCTTGCCTATTATCTGATGACCCAAGTCCCTAATTTCCTACACCTACCATTAGGCTACCTCTGGTTAACAACGCTCATTCAGATGACTGGACCTAGATCTGCCCTCCTAGATCAGAACACGGTTTCTCCAAAACACCATTTCCTTCCTCCCTTCCTCTCTCTCTCCCTTCCTTCCTTCCGTCACCCTTTCCTTCCTTCCCTCCCTCTCACACTTCTCCCTTCTTCATCCTTTCTTTCCTCTCAGGTATTCTGATCCAGTTGAGGCAGTTTGAGAAACACAGAAGTAGAATGTGGTCTCCTGCTTGTTAAGGTGAATTCTAAGTTAGTTGCTTACAGATCCCTCTGTGTTTGAAAGCAAATAGTGAAATATTTGCCTATGTGGCTTTAGGGGGGAAATGGAATGACTTACATTAATTGTAAGAGAACAAAAATGGAAATGAGAGGTGGTGCATCACAGAGTTCAAATGTATTCCCTTTGAAAGTTGTTTTGAACATCAATTTTCCTCATTCATACAATATGCCAGATAAAAAAGGTTTTTTATAAATAGTTTAGAGATGACATCAACTCATAAAAATTAGATTATTAGTGGTTTTGTTATCAAGTCAACCTGTATTTTAGGAACTTTATAAACATAGTGCATAAGTTAAATATCATCTTCCCCATTCTAATCATGGTAGAACTGAATAGAGAGTCTAAATAAGCAGTGTTGTAGGTCTTTGCATATAAATCTGCTTGGCAGACTGAGCATTGGAAGTCCCAAGGATGGTAGGACAAGGGGATGGGAGGACGTCTGAGTTTGTGGCAATTGCTCAAAGCTTTGTTTCGTCAGAGCCAACAAGACATCTAAGGTTTTTCACAAGTAGCGCATAAGCTATAAAGAAATATGGTTTGTTATACAAATATTGAATCATTATACTGGACATCTAAAATTAAAATAATGTATTAGGTCAATCAAACCTCAATAACATTTTTAAAGAAATAAGGTTTACACTAATAATAAACAATAATTAAAAGAAAGCAATTAGCAGCTATTGAACCAAAAAATTATTCTAAGAAGCCCAAGAGTACTAGCATAATCTGAAAATTACAACTCACTCAGGACGGCCAGAGAAGCACGGAGCCCCTCTGCCTCAGGACCGCGACCACCTCCCGCCCGTCTGCTGGCGGGCCCTGGAGGGTGCGCTTTGGAAGTAGATGAAAACCTGTACAGTTAAGTGCTGCCTGCTTCCGATCCAGCCAGAGCGAGGCCTTGGCCTGAGCATCAAGGACTTCTTAGGTGTGAGACCAGAAAATGCCTCGCCTGGTCACTTTTTCGCAGATGTTCTTCTGAAACTGAACCTTAAAAGCAAGAACTTGGCCAGTGCCTAACCTCACCCGTTTTTCACCTGTAGTCAAGCTGACTGAGCATGCCGAGACTCCCAGGCCAGCATGCGACACGGCACTTTGTTCCCTCCAGCTAGCCCTTCATCCCTCAGGGATCCTCTCTGTGACCTCTCCACAAAGATGGCCATAAAAAGCAAAGGTAATTATCAGTTCTCACAGCATTTGTAGCAAAATGGAAGAGGCTCACATATAGAATTTTTTTAAAAAGCATTTTTTCCACTCAAAAGACATAGGGCATTTTAAGATGTTTTTAAAATACCAAAATATTCTTGTATTACAATATTAGCTTCTTTGATTATGAAAACACATGTTTTAAAATTATACTGTATTTTCCCTAAATATTAAAGTAGTACATATTTATTATCTAAAGCTTAAAAAGATAAAAAGTACAAATAAGAAAATAAAAATTATCTTAATTTCACCATTCAGAAAGAACTACTAGTTAACATAGTTTTAGATTTTTGGATATATTTTTACTCTACTCTTATAATAGATAGCATTTTGCCCTGGGCAGTTTGGCTCAGCAGTTGGAGCGTCGGCCTGCGGATCAGAGAGTCCCGGGTTCGGTTCTCACTAGGGGCATATACCAAAAACAAAAAAAACGAGATAGCATTTTGTATTCCATTTTATTCATGTAGCAATACATTGTGACTATTTCTACATATCATGAAATTAAAAAGATTCTTCAATAACTAATCAAGTTTTACTAAAATTTGTTAACCAATTGCCTGGTATTGAATATTGAGTTATTTTCTTTTGAGTATGTGTGGTTATAAGCTATTTTAAATACCACTTGCAATCATTTTATACTTATTATGGATTATTCCCTTGGGATAAATTTCTGAAATTGGAATTGCTGGGTCAAAGAGCATGATATTTTTAGAAGCTTTTGATGTGTTTCTATGGGTACTTCAGAAAGGGGGACAGCAATAAACAATTTTACTGATAATGACAAAAGGCCTTATGTCCCTGTACTACTGCTGACAATGTCACAATCTCTACCAGTTCTTTCTATATTGGACAATTTAGTAATTAAAAAGTGGTTTTCCATATTAGTAGGCAAGCTTTCTACATCCATTCCTTCTCCTCAGCTTGTTTTGAAACAAAACAAACAAATTCCATCTTAAGACATGCTAAGAATCCTCAGTAATTCAACAGCAGAAGAAAGTTTGGCCAAGGACATTTTATCTGAATGCAAAGAATGAAAAAAGGCCATAGAAGCAGGAAAAAGATATCCAAGTGTATTCCAAGTTCTAGTCACCTTGAAAACTATTCCTGTGCTTGGATCATTCTTTGTGTAGTTAATCAATTATCTTCCTAACAACTCACCATGACAAAATTCATGACTAACTTCACCCACCTACACAGGAAAGATGTTCTTGTGTTGCCTTTGGCATTGAAACATGGCCCACAAAACCCAGGATTAATTACAAACTCAAGACCACAGCTGTTCACAGGTAACAGTTGCAGAAAGCTAGGCTCTATCCTCCACCTATTAGATACAATGATCTCTTCACAACTTTCAGATTATGTCTTTTCTATGCTCAAATTTTTCCAATGGCTTCCTATCTCAGAATAAAATCCTCCCCAATGCACACAAGCGTCTCCCTTTGGGTCCATCTTCAACCACTCTCTGGATTGTCCATTCTTCTCCTATTACACTGGCCTCCTTTTCGATCCCCACTCAGCAACTATGCCCCCAACTCAGTGTCTTTGCATTGCTGTTCCCTCTGTTTCTTCTTTCTTCAGGTGACGGAGTAGCTTACTCTTGCACTTCATTCTGTCTCTGCTCAAATGTCCCCTCATCAGACAAAATACCACTCCTTCCTCAAACCATCACTCTATCCCCTCACCCTGATTGATTTTCCTTCTACCACTTAGCCTAGATACCCCATTCCATGTTTATTTTCACTCATTAGGCATATCTCTCCCTAGAATATAAATTTTAATACAATCAGGGACTTTGTTATGTTCACATGAAGAACAGCATGGATTAAACAGATACCCAACAAATATTTATCGACTAAAAGAAATCTATTGGAACAAACAACTATGTGCTTTCACATTTTGTTCAGAAATTGTATTTATTTATTTTTAAATTTGGAAGAATTTCTTTCTTAAATTTATTTTTTATGAAATTTTTGAGGTGACATTGGTTAATAAAATTATACTGGTCTCGAGTACACAACTCTACAATACATCATCTGCATATTGTATTGTGCGTTTGCCTTAGACTGCAACTCATAACACATGGCTTTCTTGTTCTTTCACCAGGACTATTCTGTCTTGCTTGCATGATGGTAAAATTGCACTTCACTTGAGGCATAACATTATTTAGTTTTGTTTTTGTTGTTTTTTTATCCTCACCCGAGGAAATTTTTGCATTTATTTTCAGATAGGAGGCAGAGAAGGAGGAAGAGAAAGAGAGAAACATCAATGTGAGAGAGACACATTAACTGGTTGCCACCCACACAACCCCATCTGGGGCTGGGGACAAACTGCAACCAAGGTACGACGTGCCCTTAGCAGGAACCAAACCCGGAACTCTC